ATGACCTTTGTCAGTCGAAAAAGCGGTTTTTTCACGGTGTTCGGGTAACATAGGGACTTGATAATAACCATTTGCTAGATCAAGAGTACTGTAATAGCGAGATTTACCAAGCTGGTCAAGGATATCAGTGATGTTAGGAAGAGGATAGGCATCTCCTTGAGAGACCTGATTGATTTTTCGAAAATCAACGCAGACGCGATATTTGATATTTCCATATATGTCTGGTTTTTTTGGTACTACTAATAATGGCGCATTCCATGGAGATTCACTAGCAGCTATAACTCCCTCTTTCTCGAGTTGTGCTATTTGTTCATTAATCTCATTCTTGTGTTTGTAAGGGAGTCGATGGGGCTTGTCCATTATCGGCTGGACATTATCAGGTGTTTTAATTTGATGATATACCGCTGTAGTATGCGTAATTGGATCCCCTTCTAAATGGAATACGTCGGAGAACTGACTGCAAATGCTTTCCAATGAATTTCGAAGAGCTTGCTTAAGTCGACTAATTCTGCTTCCATCGAAGTTACTTTGGGATTGTGACAGCGTAATATTTATAGATACTTATATATATTCTTCGTAATTAAGACTTTTGAGATTTGGTATCTGAAGATGTTCGGGTAGTTCTGACGGATTTAAAATAGAAAGTAATACGCGATTGTCTTGGACCTGAGTTACGACATTTCCACTTATGAGGGTTTCGTTAATTGACTGAGAAGGAATTAAGAGCATGGTCCCTTCTTTAATAGTTGAAACTGGAATGGTAATAAGAGTTTCTGATCGAAGAGAGATAACAATACCAGCTGAATTAGGAATGATTAATTCATTGGTTCCATAATTTATGAGAGTCTGATGTCCTACTATGAAAGGTTTTCCTAGGATACCGTCATGAGGTATTGGAAAGTCAGGATGAATTAAATGGAACTCTGCTTGAAGGAATTGGTTTTTTAGTTGTATAGTTAAGGTAGTAGGAATAAGTTGGTCAGTTATGCCCTTCATATGATATATTATGTGATCATAAAAAATCACATTACTTTTAAGAGATGATACTTTAATAAGGTTTAGGTCACTACCGGAATCAAGTAGAAGTCTGGCAGTGCCCGAGTTTGTCTGATGAATTGGGTAAACAACATGGTGGTTAACTAATTTTGCGTTAAAATGGAGAGATCGGCTAATTTGATACTGCTGACAGGTTTTCCGCCCAAAGTTGCCTGTCGTGTCTCGTTTCCCGCATAAGATGTTTGTGGTTCTGGTGTTGATTGTGATTGTTTCTTGTTGTTAAACCATTGGCGTTTTCTGCATACTTCTAAAGTGTGTCCTGATTTTTTACAATAACGACACACAACCATTTGAACGTGAGCCAAGTTAGGACGATAGCTTTGCAAATTAGATTTAAATTTACTAAAATTTGATGGTTTATGCGTGTGATTTGAAGAAGACCTACAGTCTTTAGCTAAATGACCAGTTTTTGTACAAATAAAACACATAACTTTTGACTTTCCTCCTGTTGTAGGGGTCAACTTCCTAGATTCGTGCCATGATTTTCGGACACGCTCTTCTTCACGAGCGGCTTGAATAGCCTTCTCTAATGTTGGTGGATTGCGAGCTTTTATAAAGTCTTTAAGATTATTTAAACCTTCGGTGAACACTTGGACTGTTTGAGCTTTAAGGATTTGCTCAAGGGCGGTAGCTGCTTCAGTGCTTTTTCCATTTGTTTCTTATTCTAAAATTTGTGATTGTAGACATTCTACACGATTGGCATAAGAAATAACATCTTCATTAGGAGCCTGTTTGGTACAATATAACTCTAGGTAGAGATGAGTAGTTGTCCTCTGTGGTTCTAAAGTGGATTTTAGAGTATTTTTTAAGTCAGTCCACGATTGGATTTCTTTGAATAATAATAAGATATTTTAAAATAAAATAAAACCTAGCACAGTGGAGTCGCGGCATAATGGGGATGTTACATAGTGAGGTCCAGTATAGATTTAATCTGACAGTGTTTAAAATCACTATCATAAGAAACGATTCGATGCAAATCTTTAGATAGTGTTTAATTCTAAAAAATTGATGGAAAAAAGCAACATCAACTTCTATTTCCTTAATTATACCCAGATTAGTTTTTTTTAGTTATGTTCCTAATTAGTATATACCTAATAATTATTTTTATCTATGAACTCTAAATTTATATCAAAATAATGAAATTAAATAAAAATTTGTGATCTTGTTTTTTTTTTTATAAATTTAATTATTAATAAATTCATATTAATGTTATTATGTAATATATAATTTTGTAATATCGTAAATACCGAGTTACCGAAATATCGAGTATATCGAAATTGCCGTATCCAAATACCGGTATAACGATATTTTCGGTATACCGATTCATACCGGTAAAAAATATCATACCGAAATATCGATATTAAAAAAATACCGTCACCCCTAATATAACTCATTGAAAAGCGAATGGATCAACATAATTTTTTAATGAGAAATAACATTTTTTAATAATCCCTTTTTCATTCGACATACTTTATCTTAATCAGGATATTAATGAGGAACTAGCAGATTATGTAGATTTTGGAATAATTCACCAATTTTTTAAAATTAAACACTATCTAATGAATTGCATCGAAGCATTTTTTTTTTTACATAGAGATTTTAATCACTGTGAGATATCATTATACTTGATCCAACTATGCCACGTCACCACTGTGCCGCGGCCCCCCTGTGATGGGAATTTTTTTTTTAACTTTATAATGATATATCTTATTGAAAAGTGTATGGATCAATATAATTCTTTTTTTATAGATGTATGATATCTTTACCTATCATTTGATATATTTTTTTTATAAATCTGACTTTTTGCCTTCCTACAGAGTGGAATTAAAAATGACAACTTTTTCAACTTATATTTTGAAAATGTTCCGGAAGTACTGTCAATTTTATATACATCTTAAATTAAAGTTAATGTAATATACTTTATTATGAAAAAAAAAATTTTCGGACTTTATTTTATCTTCATGGTGAAAATGGCTACCAAATGCTATTTTTGTGTGAAAATTCTCGATGTAAAAATGTATTTTACATTTTTAACTTTATTATGCTAAAACTTTTGTAAAAATGTATGGATCAATACAATATTTTCATGAGAAGTAGTATTTGTATTCATCTTTCATTCGACATACTGTTTTTTTTAAATCGGACCATTTTCCTATATACGAGGGGGGTTCAAATCTAGAAAATGCATATAGAAAATAGAACTTTTTTAACTTAACTTTTGAAAGTGTTCCGGAAAGTCTGGCAAATAAAAGATGTACTTATAATGTATTTAGAAATTTGTGCTGATACATACATTTTTCGAAAAGTTATAGCATTTTTAATTTGAAAATTTTAACACAAAAATAGCGTTTTTTTAACTACGGCAGCCGTTTACATGTAGAAGATAAATTGCCGGAAAATTTTTTTTTTAATTTTATAGTACATAACATAAGCTTTAATTTTATATATATTGAAAGGTCGCAGTATTTCCGTAACTTTATCAACAGTTAAGTTGAAAAAATTGCTATTTTAAATCTCCTCCAGTGAACAGGTTAAGTGTTAGACTGTAAAAAAAGTGATATAAAATAAAAGGGAAACATCTTAAGTTTTAGTATAAAAAAAAGTTATGTTGATTTTTAAAAAAGTCATGGAAATTTTATAGAAAAAAAATGAATCCTGGATAAGGTTGTAATGACAACAAATTAAATTATTTATATAAAGTCAGTTTTCTCAAAGATGAAAGAAAAAGACAAAAATTAAAAAAATGCATCTTCAACCAGAAAATAATGAAAAATAAATGTAGTTTAAAAAAACTAAAAAAACACGCTTTTAAAGCACATCGAACTAAAAAGTTAAAAATAATTTTTAAAATAAGCTTAAAACAATAATGAACGAAAAATACTAGTATTATTGTGATAAAATCGGGCGCTCAATATACGAAAAATATGACACAAAGCACCCACGCTTTTATCACAATAATACTAGTATTTTTTGTTCATAATTATTTTAAATATATTTTAAAAATTATTTTTAACTTTTTAGTTCGATGTGCTTTAAAAGCGTGTTTTTTTAGTTTTTTTAAACTATATTTATTTTTCACTTTTTAGTTTCATGATAGTAGTTGCTATCAATATCATGGTTGTAACGGGTAACAGGAAATCAGTGTTCGATTCCGGGGAGGGTGTCTGAGAAACGGCTATCACATCCAAGGAAATCAGCAGGTGCGTAAATTACCCACTCCCGGAACATGGAGGTAGTGACGAAATCGGAATGAATGAGTTCTATATCTCTAAATAAGAATAAAGTGTGTTAATATATATTTTTAATAGTAATTAGAATATACAGGGTGTTCAGTAAATCAGGAAACGGGTTTCTATTGTTCTCATTGTTACAAACAATAAGAAAATACAAAAAATATATATACATGAAAAGCGACTTAAGTACGTAAACGTATCATGCATTAGGTACAGTCGTGTTTTGTGGGCGGGCGGGTCAGACTAACGTTATACCTGAGGTATAAACGGCGGTAGGAATATATACGTAAGCCGTATGCACGCGGATGATAATGGTCAGTCAAAATAAAAATTTGTTTATAAATATATAATATTGATGACACGCACGTGTGTACGGGTAAAATAACCAAAAATAAATTTATACAAGAATAGTATTGCCGGCGTGTTATGAGCGAGGCGTGGGGTTGGGTGAATGCGTTATGACAGTCTAGTCTAGACGACGGAATATGCGATAACGCGTGGCGTTTGGTGAGTTACNTTCCTTTTGGAACCAGTTCCTTCTCAACACTGATATATACATACATACATACATACATACAGGTGAAACTAATATAAGCGTGTTAAAAACAGGTATGTAATCCACTAATTTGTGGTTTAAGCTGTGAAACACTGGTACAGTAATAAATAATGTAGTCTTTAGAACATAAATATATTATGATGCTATCATAGATGTAAAACATAAATATTAGGAGATCGATAACATTTTTATTAGAAATATAAATAAAACAAAATTTTATAACTTTTAAAATTAAATTAGTAAATTATTTAATAAATAAAACAGTAAATGGTAAATTAAATTAATTAATCAGTATTAGAACTTTGTATTAATTTGTGGACAAACATACTTCTGATTGGATTATTTATGTTATTTGTCTAATAATAAAACATGAATTATTTTTTTGTATCGAGCAGAAAATTTTGAAAAATTAATCCTCAATCATCAATTGATGGTAGGTCCTGAAATAAAATTATGAATAAAAAAATACAATTTTAATTATTGTCACAGTTGAATTTTTATTTCAATCATCTTGCAACTAAAAGGATTTGAATAATTAATGATGATATTTTAATTCACCCATGTATTTTTAATTTACATTTGAGTGGATTTGTGAGAAATTGGTCAAATAAAAAACGATAATTATTTAGAAAACGAAAAACACGAGATACTTTAACTTGGTAGTAATTATGAATATTAAAGTTCAATTAGCAATAAAATTATAACTAAGATACTTATGGAAACAAAGTATTAACATATAGGAACAAATGTACGTCCGGCGCTTCTCAAATTTTGAAACTTAAAAAATAGCGACCACCCTAATGTTCCTGTATCAGTAAAAAATATATTTCTAAAGGATTTATTGAGAAAAATAGTATTGTAACCCCTAGAAATCGATCATTTAAGTTTTAAAGTAGCATCTAACTGAATACTAGTAATTTATTGCTTACCTATTGAAGAACTACCACCATCATCTACATCTAAATAAAATAAAAATTGTAGATTAGTTATCTATTTAATCTTTAAAAGTATTCAAATTAAAGAATGAGTAATATTTTTAACTGATACTAAGAAAATATAATTGTAATATATAATTGTAATATATTTTGTAGTTAAATTACTAAAATATTTAAAATTCCTAAGAAATGTATTTTTTTGTTACTTGATTTTTAACTTTGATGCTAAGCTGAGAAGGTATTGGTTTTACTAAGTTGTGTTTTTTTTTTGTGTCTGTTACCACTTTTTCTCAGCTCTCACCGAACGGATTTCTTTCAACGATACGTCAAAAGATCACAAATCGTATCTAGTCGAAGACATTACCCTTCAAAATTGAAAAAAAATCCCTCGTTCCCCTAAATGGCGGAAACCTCCAAAAAAATTTCAAATTTAAAAATTGCTAATTTTCGAAATTTTTTCAATTTTTTTTACTAAAAACTGCCGTAACTTTTTCAAAAATAAACATATGAATATAATTTTTTTTTTTATAGATGCTTGATATTTTTACCTATCATTTTGTATATTTTTTTGGTAAATTTGACCATTTTTCTGCTCACAGGGGGGGATTTAATATGACAACTTTTTCACAAAAAATTAACTTTTTCAACTTAACTTTTGAAAATGTTCCGGAAGGTCTGACACTTTTATATATATCTTAAATTAAAGCTAATGTAATATACTTTAATTTGAAAAAATATTTAATTTGTCCTCTGGACTTGTCTTGGATATACTTTTTTTTTAAATCAGACTATTTCCCTATATATGGGGGGGCTTCAAATATAAAAAATGCATATATTACATATATTTTCGTGTGAAAATTCTCGATTTTATTTTTTACATTTTTAACTTTATAATGCTATAACTTATTGAAAAGTGTATAGATCCACACAATTTTTTTCTGAGAAATAATATTTTTTAATAAACCCTTTTTCGTTCGACATACTTTATCTTAATCGAGATATTAATAAGGAACCAGCAGATCAAGTAGCTTTTGGAATAAAACACCAATTTTTTTAAAATTAAACACTATCTAAAGATTTGCATCGAAGCGTTTATTTTTGATAGTGATTTTAATCACTGTCAGATATCATTATACTTGATCCAACTATGCCACGTCACCACTGTGCCGCGACCCCCTTTATACTAACGTTAATCTGAGTTATTGTTTAAAAATATAAATTATATTTTTATTTAAATCTTTCATGATGAACATTACCCTGCATAATTTCATCTTCAGAATCTGTGTCATCCAAATCTGTCAAAAAAAAAATCATAATTTTTTGTCAGTAGTTATTAATAATTTTATACTTAGACGAGAGGAGGAGTGAGACTGAAAAACGTCTAGTGCACCCGCGGTTCAAAATTAAACGTATATTGTGAATTATTGAGTTATTGTGAAAAAATATATCTTGAATTTTTATTTAAATTTGATATGATAAACATTACTGTGCATAATTTCATCTTCAAAACTTATGTTATCCAAGTCTGTCAAAGAAAAAAAATCATCATTTTGACAGTTATTAATATTTATATACATAGGCGGGAGTAGGAGCGAGGCCAATAAATGTCTAGTGATAAAAGTAGTTGCACACATATTTAAAACCCTGTTATTATTTAAAATTACAAAATATTTTCACATACTGGTCCGAAAGTAATTAACAATCAGTTCTTATAAGGATATTTTTTTATTTTGTTTAAAAGTTTAACAAAAAAAACTTATAGGATCTTATGGATGATATAAAAAGATTTAATTGTTAATTAATCATTAAATATATAAAAATAAAAAATTCTAAAAAGAATTTTCTGAAAATAATTATTGCTTGAAAATAAATTGAATGGTTAATATTAAAAGTTTCACTCTAGCGGATGCAGGGCAATGGAATATATGTATTTATTTATCAGTATTCAGTAGCGAAACATAGACAAAAAGACTAAACAGATTAATGGCTAGGTGATGTCAAACTGATCATTAAGTTTATATATTATTTTAATTGGAATATGTAGTATATTAATTAAAAAATAATAAATGTGATTAACAATCGAAATCGATATAAGTTGTAGTTCTTTTATATATATTACATTAAAACAACCTGATAATTTTCTTTGAAAAATAAAACAATCACAAGATTGAAATGAATATTTTAAACTCTATTACAATAGGATAATTAGAAATATTACCATGTAATCGGCACACTACTCTTTCCCAAAATTAATCACTAATGAGAATATGGTACATCACTGAGCTTGTTAATATTTATTTAAATGTTCGAAAAATACTGTTCACTATTGAATAGTCACTAATTAAGTTGCAAAAAATATTAGATTATTTTTAAAATATAGTTTCTTTTTTATGCAATAAAAATGCGTAAATTGCAGTAAAAACGAATAACCTATAGTAAACAAATAGCTTGTATTGTAAAACATTTTTAATGTGCGTCACTTGCTAAAAATATAATTTAAATTTACAATTTTTCATTTACAAAACGACCATTTATTTTAAGTTTTTTGTTATAAAAATTTAACTAAACTAATCTTATAAACAGTATTTCTTTTATTTTTTTTTAAAAGACAGCACATCGAGAAAAAAAATACCACTAGTTTATCGTCCTGCTATTAAAATACTAGAACACAGTACGACTATTTTTGATTTCGACTTGTATCAGCAAATTGGAAGCAATCTTAAAGAAAAAAAATAATAATTTTATAACAGTTTTAATGATAAATATGAAAATCGGTTTGAATAAATAATAAAAGACAAAATAAACTCGTGAAATTAAAAGAATATCACATTGTCTGTGGGTTTTTCCAGTTTTTCTCGTTATGTAATCGTTTAAACTAAAAATAAACTGCATCACAGAACTCCCAGTATAATTTCAATACAATTTGATGGATCACACTAAAGTGAAATTTTTTTTCAACTTGGAACCAAAGTTCAGGGGAGGGAACGAAAGTTACAATAAATCGTGTGACCACTCAATTTGTATGAGAATTTCTTGGGAAATACTGTTGTTATGTTTATTTTTTATTAAAATAAAATTTAAAGTGGGGAACCGGAAAACTCCCAATTTTGGAGATAGGAAATTTTAATTTTTGATTTCTCTAATTTTAGGTCCTACTGAATATCACCCTACTACTCGTGACATAGCATTTACTAACACTCTGTATAAAAATAATAATGTGTAGTAATTTTAAAATGCAAAAAAAAAAAAATTTATTTTTTACTGTTTTAAATTGTTTATTAATAACATTGTAATACACAATGTTAATATTATGTATGATGATGTTATATTAACTTTTCCTGTTGATAGGGATAAGAATACTTCTGTCACTCGTAAGAGGCGACTAATAACGTTGCGTCAGGTCGACAGCGGCCGTAAAAATTTTTATCAAATAGTATGAGGTTTCCTAAACAAAACTCAGGCGAATTGTCTCATCTCGGATGTCACGGGGACAACAGGTCAACGGTGTAGGGACATCACCACATAACTTTAGGCTGGACTCGTGTATAAGAGAGAAAGATAGATACAAAGTAAGAATAGTGNGTTTCCTTGGATTACAAGTATTATTATAATTGTTTGAACGCAGCGGCCGGTGGTATTCACGCGGGTTCGTTAACGTTCGTGGTTTTGTTTTGTCTTAAGTTTTAGCTATGTCGAGGATAAAGAATAAGATGAGTGGACTGTATGTTTGAATGTAGAATGAATTTCACAAGATATAATTATACAAAATAAATGTATTATATAATAAATATAAAATCTTATATACACCAATGTGGATAGGGGGGACACTTAATACTAATGCCACAAAGGCGATGATATAAACAAATAATAAATTATACAAGTGAGTCTTAGAAAGATAAATGAACAAGCATTATACTTATCTGCTAAATGAAACGGCTGATGATAATGTTGAATATTGAAAGGATCAATTGAAGTCGAATGCAAGTAGCTGACCAAAGTGTACAATTAGCTGTCAACGGTATCGTGATGTATCTCAGAAAATATATAGACCCAACGGCGATAAACTGAGCGCACAGGGTACGACAATCGCAAAGGTGATATTTTCTTTTTACAGTAAAAACGAATACAAAACTGCTAGCTCGCAAACGCCATAGAGCTTATATCAGAAGAAGCGTTAAGATGGCTGCGACAATGGTAACATAGAGAGAAAAACCGACAACAACTCGATGTAACACAACGATAACATGAATAATCAAAAAACACATTTTCTTGACAGCATATTCGATCGATGTGTATCCAACAAATAGGTAATTGGAATATTAACTGGTAGAAGTAGAGAATTAGTAGAAGTACTGAAGAGTAGTTAACATGAAAAGTTAACATTTGTTGTGTGCAGGAAACGAAGTGTAAAAGAAAGAAATCAAGGGAAATAGGTAAGGGTTATAAAATAATACACCCAGGGAAGTATAGTACAAAGAATGGTGTAGGGATAATAATGGAAGAGGAAATGAAAAGTAAAGTAGTAGAAGTAGCTAGGAAAAGTGACAGGATTATAGTCGTGAAATTGATATTTGAGGAAAAAGTGCTGAATGTCATAAGTGCCTATGCGCCACAAGTAGGATGTAGTGAAATAGACAAGGAAGTGTTTTGGAGAGAGATGGATGAGGTGATGCAAGATGTACCTGGCAATGAGGATGCGGTGATAGGTGGAGATATGAATGAAGATGTAAATAATGACAGTAAAGGATATGAAAGAGTACATATAGGGTATGGTTTTAGTAGGAAGAATGAGGCTGGAGAAAGAATCCTGGATTATAATTTATAAGAGTAGGAGGAATAAATCACAGGACAATTATTTTTTGTAGAAGAGAGAGAGAGCGTAAAGCGAGTAAAAAATTGTTAAGTTATACCAGACTAGAGTGTAACTACACAGCATAGACTGATGGTAATGGAGTTGTGGTGTATCGAAAAGAGAATAAACAAAAATAGAAGAAACACAGGGAAAAAATCGAAGATCCTGAGGTGGAAATTGAAAGGGGAAAATGGAAACAGTTTGTAAAGACGGTAAAAGAGACGACAGTGTGGAATGTCGAGGGAGACATGTGTGGAATAGATTTGCTAGTTGCGTTAAGAATATTTCAAAGGAGATTGTTGGTGATAGTAGGAGTAGGATGCCAGGAAACATCGAAAACTGGGATGAGGATGTTCCAGAAATCATAGAAAGTAAGAAAAAGCAATTCAAAGTATGGCAGAAGAGCAAAAGGAGAAAAGGAGATTGGATGGAGTATAAACGCTTATGCAAAGAAACCAAGTGTGCAGTAAGTAAGGCGAAGTTCAAGAGATATGATGAGTTGTATGATAGGCTAGGAACAAAGGAAGTCGACAAAGAAATCTATTGACTTGCAAAAGTAATTGAGAAAAGGTCTAAAGATTATCATTATATAAGTTGTATAAAAAGTGTAGATAATAATGTACTTTCGAGTGATGATGATGTGGAAAAAAATTGGAAGAGTAATTTGAAAAATTACTGAATGAGGAGTACCCAAATGAGATATAAGAGGATATCTTGTGGAATGAGGGACTGGTAGATTTAATTAGTGAGAAAGTGTTATGGGAGGCTGTGACATCAATGAAAATGAATAAAGCTGTAGGACACGATGAAGTGCCAGTAGAAGTATGGAAAATATTAGGCGGTGTTGGCATATGGCGGTTGAAGGAACATTTAAATAAAATCCTATTAAAAGGGAAAATAACAAATGAATGAAGGAATAGTATTATGGTACCGATATTTAAAGGTAAAGGAGACGAGTGTGGAAATTATAGAGATATAAAGCTTATGAGTCATAGTATGAACATTTGGGAAAAGGTAATGAATTAGAGTATAAGAAATGAGACATTGTTATCTAAAAACCAATTTTGATTTATGCCTGGTCAGTCATCAATGGAGCCAGTATTTTGTGTGGGGCAACTAATAGAAAAAATTAGGGAAAAGAAGAAAAAACTGTGTATGGTATTTATAGATTTGGAGAAAGCGTATGATAGAGTACCCAGAGAGGTTTTAAAGTGGGCATTAATGAGAAAAGGAGTCACGAAAGGTACATTAATATAATAGATGATGTGTATAATGGCACTTGTACTAGAGTGAAAATAGTAGGAGGAGTAACAGAAGATTTTCGGGTAAGAGTAGGAGAGCACCAAGGTTCTGCTTTAAGGCCTTACTTATTTTCTATAGTGATATATGAAATTACTAGAGAAATACACGGAGAGATGCCGTAGTGCATTTTGTTTGCTGACGATATAAAGTTAATAGGAGGTAATAGGGAGGAAATTATTTAAAAGCTAGAGGTGTGGAGATCAGCTCTAAAATAAGTAAGAATAAATAAGTAAGAGTAAAACAGAGTATATAGATTACGAGTTTGACAAAGGAGAACACGAGGTATGTGAAATGAGGAGATCAGTGACAATAGGCGAGGACGAAAAGTTTTAATTATTTAGGTTTAGTTGAACATAAGAGCGGTGATATTTAGGAGGATGTAAGACACAGGATTAAATACTGGTGGTTAAAGTGGAAAGAAGCGTCTGATATGTTTTGGGATAAAAGAATTCCAATTTCTGAAAGGTAAATTCTACAAGACTGTAGCGAGACCAGCTATGATACATGGTTCAGAGTATTTGGCAGTTGACAAGAAAGTAGAGCTTTTAATGAGTAGCAGAAATGAGAATGCTTAGATGGATGAGTGGAGTGACTAGAAAAGAGAGAAAAAGGAACGAGCATATAAGAGGGAGTACAAGTATAGCGTCAATCGTGGATAAGATGAGAAAAATAGACTCGGATGGTTTGATCATGTTATGAGGAGAGATGAATCGGAAGCTGAAGAACAGTTATAGAAATGAATGTTGAAGGAAGAATACGTAGAGGAAGACTTAAAAAGAGATGGAGGGATGCTATTGAATGCGATATGAGGACAGCTGATGTTAGCGTAGATGATGTGGGAGATCGTGTCAAGTGGAAAATTAGGATAAGGGTGGCCGGCCCAAATAGTTAGGATTTAGGCGAGGAAGAAGAAGAAGAGATGCTGTTATATTAACTAAATAAAAACAAATTAAACGTTAATCTGTGTTATTGTTAAAAAAAATAAAAATATTATTTTTATTTTAGTCTATTATTAACATTACTCTGCATAATTTCAAAAGGAATAAGGTGAGTGGACTGTATGAATGAATGTAGAATAAATTTTCAAAACATAACAATTAAATGTATTATGCATGAATCATAAAATCTTAAATACACCAATGTGGATAGGGGGACACTTAATACTAATGCCATATGACACTGATATAAATAAATAATAAATTATAAATGTGAGTAAGTCTTACAAAGAAGACGAACAAGCATTATACTTATCGGCTAATGACAATGTTAAATATTGAAAGGATCAATTGAAGTCAAATGCAATTAGCTGACCAACGTGTACAATATGCTGTGAACGGTACTTTTACAATAAAACGAATAGAAAACTACTGGCTCGCAAATGCCATAGAGGTTATAGCTAAAAATGCGCTAAGATGATGGCAATAATGCAAACATAGAGAGAAGATCGACAACAACTCGGTGTAGCACAACGATAGTCTAAATAATCACAACACAAATTCTTGACAGGACATTCGACTAACAGTTCCCATTAAATAAAATAATTAAAAATCGCAGAAAAAATCATTAATATTCAAAAACCTTTTTTTTTATTTTATATTGCTAAAAGTAATTTGCACCAAAAGGACGGAATTTTTAAAAAAAAATATTTTGTTTTTATAATACAATTCATTAATAGTATGATTTAGTAAAAATTAGTAATATATTAATACGACTTACGTCGCAATAATTAGTCAAAACTGGTTTTGATGATAGTGAACCTTGGGCCATTTATTATTCATGAACAATAACTAATTATTTTAAAAAAGAACCGAAGAAACGATCACAATTTATATTAATCTTCATTATATCTCTTTCCTTTCGCTGGCGTCAGCGACGTGGTGTCCGGCATGGTCCTCAAACGTCAAAAAGTTAGCAGCTTTGGAGACGACGATACGTAGGTACGGATCGTTTAGTCGTGTCCGGTTGTACGATACGTCCGAAGCCAGTGGCGTACATCATCGACTTCGTCATTTTGACAACAGAAAGAAGACTACACCTACAATTATTGACGGGTAATCGTCGGCTGTGTAGCACAACCTGGTTCTATGAGTTTTTGAACTCCTAGACAGAATGAAACACTTAGTCTCGGAGTCGTGGATTTGGACACCAGTAAACACGGACGCTGGAGATTGATTGCCGTTTATAGAAAATGCACCGGAAATCGTGTGAAAAAAAGAGGCATGGTACGGGATTAAGACCCGCGCCCAAGGCGTCGTAAGGACAAACCAAACCACTAGGCTACCGTTCACTTATAATTTATATTCTCTTTAATTTATGTTGATAACGATTATTAATGATGATTTATGTGTAATGTGTGGCTGACGTCATATGTTAATAAATATAATATATTTTATGGTTAAATTACTGAAACATTTATAATACTGTAAAAAATTATCATTTTGTTAAATGTTTTTTTTTTTTTTTAATTATACGTTATTCGTGTTATTGTGGAAAAATAAAATTAATATTTTTATTTAACACTTATAAGATAATAATTACCATGCATATTTACATCCACGGAATTTGAGCTTAAGCCTGTCAAAATAAAAAAAAATTATCATTTTATGACAATAGTTATTAATATTTTTATATCTAGGCGGTAATAGTAACGCATCCGAAAAATGTCTAAATTAAAAAGTAGTAGTACCCGCGCTTCACCTTCAGTTAATAACAACTGAAAGAAGACTACACATATAATTTGGCGCGTGACTCGTCGTCCGTGCGGCACTTGCTGGACTTTGCACCATAACGTATAACACGCATTTCTAATAATGAGAGGTAATGAACAAATAACAAATAAAGGGAAAACACAAAAAATTAATAGAATTATATAAATCATCGAAAATTTTACTCATTAATCATCTTATGACCTTCAATTATTAGACAGAGTGATTGAAATCTGGTAAGACACTCATTTTCTAAGAAAATATTGAGAACTTGAAATTTTATTATAGAGAAAAAATATCAAGTTCAAAAAACTCTACAATAATATGTAGTCAAACCATTATTTTTTTCGTCCCTTCAAGGATAAAAACCCTTATTTATAATTTTCTTAAATTAAAACCATTATTTTTAACTTTATAATATGATAGAAAAAAAAATGACAAACAATTTTGTTCTTATAATTTTTTTTATCCGATTAACCGTTCGTCTGTTACAGCTTGTTAAGGTTAAGTGATTTTAGGCCAAATTTCTATTGTCATTTTACTGTATTTAATACAGAAGTCATTATTTGCTGTTGCATAAACCAAATTTTATTGATTAAGTTATGACAGGTAAATTAGCTATAAAAATGTACTATGCACTAAATGAAAGATAACAATAATAGATTCAACCCGGTTTTTCGGTGTATTATTAATAGCTAAGTCTATGGTTTTGTAAGACTAAAGGATCTAACAAAAATACCGGTTGCACTGCCACCGATATTATGAAAAATAATAAATGACAATATTTATTCTGAAAGTCAAAATCTTTATACAATTATAAAACGTAAACGGTTGTTCGGATAAAAACAAAATTGTTGGTAATTTTTTTTTTAGCTTCGATGCGAAGCTGAAAAGGTGGTATTGGTTTTACTATAATGTGTTTTTTTTTTTGTGTCTGTAAACACTTTTTCTCAGCTCTCACCGAACCGATTTCTTTCAATGATACGTCAAAAGATCACAAATCGTATCTAGTCGAAGACATTACCCTCAAAAATTGAAAAAAATTCCCTCGTTCCCCGTAAATGGGGGAAACCTCCAAAAAAATTACAAATTTAAAAATTGTTAATTTTTGAAATTTTTAAAATTTTTTTTACTTAAAATTGCTATAACTTTTTTAAAAATAACCAAATCAATATAATTTTTTTTTATATAGATGCATGATATTACTTTTTATTTGGTATATTTTTTATATAAATTTGACCCTAGACCTGCCCACAGGGGGGGATTTAAAATGACAACTTTTTCACAAAAAATTAATTTATTCAACTTGACTTTTGAAAATGTTCCGGAAAGTCTGACACTTTTATACAGGGTGATTTTTTTATCATAACTCACTCAATTACTTGCAGAATAATAATAATTTAAAGATTTTTTTTTTTATTATCTTTAGTTACACATTATTCTTGAATTATTAACTATGTAGTACTTTTTAAGTTCATCCCATATGCTTTGGAAGGGGGTCAACTTTGTTTTTTTAAATGGTAACACATAACATTTAATA